AGACCCTTTTGGAAAATGTGAATGAAGTCCCTTAAAATAGAAACTGTACATGGTGAATCTGCTTCATCGTTTTGGATTTGGAACTGAGAACAAAAGAATGCAACCTGCCCAACATCAGATAAAAAGGCTGTGGTAATAAATCTTTACACAGAAGCAGCATGCACAGGAACAAATAAACAGAGACATCCACCATACACATCCTTCTCACAGAAGGAGGTGTTTCTGTTTCACAGAAACACAGGTATCTCATTGCTTTCACAATAAAATTCTAAAAACCTCCCCAGGTTACAATAGGATGGAGGAAATGAGCATACATGGGTGGTAAAACCCACAAGATAAAAAGAACAGCATGTGGCGCTGCCATGGAGACTTTATGTTCTGGCATAGACATCACAACACTGCAAAGGTATTTATTCGTATTATGCATTGTTGCATTACTCATTTCCTGATTTTGGTAGGGGAAACACTCAGATCATTCCCACAGATAGACAGAAAGAAAGACAGAGACACCGAATCCCACCACTCTGTGATTAAAAATGAGAGTTAGAAAGCCCTGAAATTGATCTGCAAATAGCAGGAGACTGTTGATGGAATGTTTAGGGCTCTACTTAGATCAGTCTCCCGTAATAACTGTCTATTCCTACTAAGCAGAGATGGGGACTCAAGTCACAGGATTCAATATCAAATTGGACTTAAATCGCACCGGTGAGTTGGCTTGAGTTTTTCCCTCAATGTCTTGGGCTTGATTCAGAACCCACCCGCCCATCCTCCCTTTTTTTTCTGGGGGGAAAAGCTTGCTTTTTAATAGAAACTTGGACTTGGTATTTGGTACCAAAGACTCAGATTCAGACATGGACTTCTGGGGGAAAAAGCTTGCTTTTTAATAGAGACTTGGACTTGGTATTTGGTGCCAAAGACTCAGATTCAGGCATGGATCCAAAGATTGCCAACATTCCTGCTATTAACAACATCCTGCCCTGGCTAACTCATATCCAATCCCTATGGCATGTTTACACCATCTTTAAACATACTGGCCAGAATCCTGTTGATTTATGTGACCATGGAAGGGCAATCACAGAAGTAGTCACTCTCCCTGGCAGGTTTCCTTTGTGTGACTGGCTTGTGCTGTCAAATCAGATGATCACTCACACTAAGAACTGCTCACTACCCTGTTTCCCCAATAATAAGACCTAACCTGAAAATAATCCCTAGTATGATTTTTCAGGATGCTCATAATATAAGCCCTACCCCCCAAATAAGCCCCAGTAGAGTGAAACCCCGCCCTCCACCCTTGTACAGCAACCAGAAGATGACATGACTGTATTTGAATAAATGTAGATTGTTGTACATGAAAAAAATAAAACATCCCCTGAAAATAAGCCTTAATATGTTTTTGGAGCAAAAATTAATATAAAGCCCTGTCTTCTTTTCAGGAAAACACAGTAGATGGGGGGGGGGGGTGTAACTATCCTTCTATGTGTACTTTTTGCTAACTGGATTTTAGCAAATATTAGTTCCCTATGATGACGGGATTCTGCCACACAGAAATACAAATTCAACCATTACTTCCCAGCAGATTTGTATCAGTTCTTTTTATAACTATTACGCTGGTTTTCTTTATCTGGTGGTTACACAATCTGGTAAACTGAAAGGAAAACACTCACTGACTTTTTACAGCAAGAATATTTCACACACAAAAATTAGTAATGCAAAAACTCAACAAAATGTATATGTATATCTTTAATAAGTGATACTTTAAAATAGCTGATTTAATACATGACTTCCCACCCCCAAACATTAAAAAATGCTGCTCTAAACGTTTAGCTGCAAGGAAAAAATACAAACTTAGTGGCTACCAGTGCTATGTGTTCATTATCACCCATTGTGGGCAACCATAATAGGGCATCTTATTCATGCTAGGAAAGTATAACTTCTTCTGTTTTCTGAATGATAAAATACACCTTTTAACACAGATGTCAGAAAATACAAGAGTCGGATTATTACAATAGTAAAGTGTGATTGTGATTTGTTTGTCAGCCTACACATAAACTCACCGAAAAGGGAATCATCATCTGAAATTCACTGTACAATGCACACACAGATTCAGCTTTGTTTCAGGATAAGTATATTCAGCCTAGAACTCCATGTTCTGGCAACTAGCAGCCATAAGAACAGCTTGCTAAGCTCTTAATTTGTGCACAGCTGATTTCTGCCAAACAATGGTAATTACTGAAAGATTTACAGAAAGCATGAGGGTTGTTCCACTGCCTCAGTTTGGCATTCAATTCTCTCGGTTTGTGTGATTAAGAGGAAACAAGTTTCCTTAATTTCTATCCTGATGTACTACCCTGAATTTCTGTTACTTATGCTGTTTTGGGCCCAGAGAACTTTCTCATTTTGTTTACCACATAAATTCAATACTGTTTCCAACAGTAATTTCATATATGCGGCTTAAAAGATAACTTTAAAAATCAGTACTTTTGTTTTTGCAATTCTACTATCTACACTGGGAAAAATTAAATGGGACTTTCTATGTTATTTTAATAACATTGATATAAAAGTACAATATATTTGCACTATTCATGATTATTTGGAAAGCCCACATTTTAAAAAATGGTTTTGACTGTCATCTAACAGGACTTTGCATTAAGTCACTGCTGTGGCATTTTCTGGGACCATGAGAATTACAAAGTACTGAAGGTCAGCTGTACAGTTAAAGTTCTCTTAGACTTTATCTCCTAAAGCTACTCAAAAAGCCTCAGTGAAGGTTAGGAGTAGATTAAAATTAGTGGTGCTCCGCAAGACGATGTTAATTCATTCCACTGAAATCGCTGTTTTGCAAAAACATCGTCTTGCAAAAAGCATTTCCCCATTGGAATGCACTGAAATCCATTTAATGCATTCCTACGGGGAAAAATAGTCCAGCGAAAATTGCCCACAGGGAAGCCATTTTGCGAAGCGCCAATCAGGTGTAAAATCGTCGTCTTGTGAAAAACGGTCTGTGAAGAACAAACCAAATCATAATCCAGCAAAATCCCTCATAGGAAAAACTGTTTTGCAAATCATTATAGTGATCACAAAACGTCATCGTCCTGCGGATTACCCATTTTGCAGGGTAATCGTCTAGCGGGGCCCCACTGTATATCTTTGCACATACATTGCTACATTCACAGGGTCACAGAATAAATTGGCCAAAACATGTTGGACACTTTTAAACGTGCATAAACACATTTCTTCAACACCCTGAGACGTTAGTCTCACCTTCTTTTTTGGGGCCAGTGGATGATTCCACGGTGTGTTTGTTTGGTTGGTTGGTTTATGAAGAAAAGCTACTCAACTCAAAAACTACTTCCAACTCACAAGAATATTAAGCACTACCTACCTACCTACCTACCTACCTACCTACCTACCTACCTACCTACCTACCTTTTTGTCCACTGCAGCTGTCTTGATGAGATATTTCAAAAAGGAATCAAAACCCAGAGATCCCTTGTCTGGACAAGGGAGAAACAGGAATGTTATTTTTCTTCTCAAGGTCTCCATAACATCTGCAAACTGTCTGCATAAAACGTGTCTTTTCTCTTGAAACGTATAGGAAAGACCAATGATATTTCCAGTCCTTAAAAGTCCATGCAAAAAAGCAACAACTGCTGTCATTTTGGACAAGTTTGCATTTACATTAAAGTATTAATTGTATTAAAGCATTATTTCGCACAGTTCACTGTTTTGCTTAATTTATGCAATCATCCTGTCTTTTATCAAAAGTACAACAAAGAACTCTGTTCCCTTCATACAAGCAAGAATATTTCTATAGCTTCTCATTCTCTCCTGCAAAGACGAGACAAATAAGGATTTACCTCTCTTGTACAAGGCAACAGTAACTATTCTCACAAATATTAGTAACAACAACAGTAACTATTGCAAATAGCAAGCAGAAGTACTGTATCTATTCTGTTAGTAGAATTAGCTCTAATACAGAGGCAAACTCCACTCCTTGATATCTATGTTCGGTACATTTCATATATGAATTAAGAACTGACAATCAAATGTATGCATAGGAGCTTATTACTGGAATGTCATTTCAGATTTTTTTCTTTTAGATTTATAGATTTAGTCATTTTAATATTTCGTTCCCAAATGTGTGACCAGGCACTTAGTTCTATATTAGGACCTATATTTTGAGCCCATTTTACCATGCAATCCTTCACAATTTCATCTTCCATTTTTTGCTCCATTAAAGTATTATATAAACCTTTAATCAATTTTCCTCTGAGTCCAGCAACCCCTTATCCAAAGGTATTTTGTCTTTCTGAAACCCTGTAGCTTTATCTTTTACATATGTTGATTTCAACAAGTTTATCGACCACCAATCTAAGATAAAACCTTTTTCTGCCAGTTCATCTTTGTTCTTTAGATTAAAATCACTATCTAATATTTCGGCATATCTCCCGTTTGTCCCTTGAGATGTCTTTGCCGGATCAGAGAACGCTTCTAATGGAGCTACCCATAACGATATAATGTTGTGCCTTAACTGTCTTCCAAACCCGTAACAGAGCTCTCCTGATCAAAAGTAAATTAAATGTTTTGTATTGCTTATCATCTAGGTATCATATGTAGGTATGCCAGCCTAGCCTTAAATCATGCCCCTCAATTTTTAAAAGTCTCCCATTTTGTAGAATAACCCATTCCTTCACCCAATATATTTTTTCTTAAGAGAACTGTGTTTGAAAGAAGAATATTTACTGAGCTTTACCTCTTCAGCTGCCTAGATAGCTCAGTGAATTAGGTTGTGGGGCCAGTGGTTGGGAGTTCAATTCCCCACTCTTCCTTCTAAGAAAACAGCCACCTGTGTAGCCTTGGCCAAGCTGCACAGTCCCAAGGCACCTGCATTAGAAGAGGTAAACCAACTCTTCACTGTATACCTAGAAAACACTGGAAAGGGTCATCATAAGTTGGAATCAACTTGCCAGTATGTAACTATTATTACTACATCATCTTACCTGTGCTTGTTCTGTAGAACTGCTGCTAAGTTCATCTCCAGATTCTGAATCCTGGTGGATTTTTTCCGAACCTTCTCCTGCAGAGTCACAAGACTGCTCTTGCAAGAAGCTAGTATTTTCTGTTTCCATATATTCAGAACAAGGAAAGTGGGACATGGAGAAGGTCCTGCTCTGGTTAGAAACTTTAGGAAACTGGAATTCATTAAATTTCCCATTGTTTTGGGCAAGGTCCGGATTCAGGCCGGTATTCTGACCTGGACTGCCATTTGGTCCCAGATTTTGATTAGCATCCCGTACTAGTTCAGACACTTGAACTGGAGATGATTTTCCAAAGCTGGAAAGCTCTGGAGACTTGTTCACATTTTCCGTTGACCTCTGTAACCCATGCATAAGTTTTAGCGAACTGTTTGGCAGCGCACCTGAGGGCTTAATAGGTGGCATCAATGCTTTGCGAGTTACTTCCTTCACATACTGCGCTGGCACATAGAAGGGCTTGGAATTTTCATCACTTTTGACTTGCCACCAGTCATCGTTAGTCTTTTTCACCAAGATGTATCGCTCCCCTTGTTTTATCACAATCCTTTTGTCTTTTGCTTCATACTCATAGTCGTATTCAACTTCAATGTATAATGGACCTGGAAGTATTTTTCCACTCTTGTCAGCCATCTCTTTTTAAAAGTTATGTTCACCTTTCTAGGTGAAAGATAAGCCACATTATGCTTTTTTCTTCGTTTTTATTCTCAGCACTGCTGTAAGAAAAAAAAAACCCACATATATTATCCAACAATAGACTACTAAGTGTCAACTATACAGTACTTGATTTACTGACCAGTCCCATATTTTGAAAAAGCTCAGTTATAAAATTTCCCAGACGTCTTGCAGAAAATCCCCAGAATCAGAGAAAGCAAGGAAAAATGGATTAGATCAACAGAGATCTCATTTTACATCAAAAACTAATCAGGTTTTTAAAAGCGGTATAATGTAACTGGTGTAAATCTCAGTGGTAAACCATCCTCCAGAATCAGAGAAAGCAAGGAAAAATGGACTAGATCAACAGAGATCTCATTTTGCATCAAAAATTAATCAGGTTTTTTTAAAGCGGTATAATGTAACTGGTCTAAATCTCAGTGGTAAATCATCCTAAATTAAGAAGTTGGCATAGGCATTTGCTGTTGTGCATCAAATTGTGCGATACAATATGTCACAATAAATGCCTACACTTTTCAACTTGCTGCTATACATCACCCCAGATTTAAGCCAACTGAGTTACACCAGAAACTCACAGATCAGTATGTTTGACATATATTTACCAAAAAAAATATTAAAATTTGAAATTAAACTTAAAATCTTTTGTTCATGTTACCTGCAGAAGAAATATTGAAAAGTTTCCCTAAACACCACATGTAGCTGAACTGGGACACAGTCTTTTTCTGCATTGAGCAGGGGGTTGGACTCAATGGCCTTATAGGCCCCTTCCAATTCAATTACAATATTATATGATTCTCTGACTTGGAAAATTGCAGCAGTTGACAACTGAGATGTATGTCATTGGAATTATGGTGGAAGACATAACTGCTGGAACTGTGGCCATTATTGTGGTTTTACTAATGCATTTTGACTTTATTTGTAACTCATATTAGAAAAATCGATGTCTAGAATGTGGAATATTAATATTAACAAATGCTTCCCTGTCTACCCTACCTACTTACTAGAATCCATTTTCACAGCCATCCAGTCTGCTCAGTAAATGTTATTGAGCTACTGGATTTGCTCTTACTTCATAATCCCTTAGTGTGAGAATCACTGCAGTGAAATCCCAAGAAGTTGCTAGATGCATATTCTGCAGAAGTGCTACACAGATGTTTTAGTTTAATCTGTATAAATTCTGTGGGACTATAATATATAATAAACAATGACACAGCTCTTCAGGACGTGGAAGAGTAACAGCCAAAGAGCAAGAGGCTAAGCCTACTGTTTCAGTAACTTAGCAAAATGGATAACGTCTTTTTTTAGTGCAAGACAATCTCCTGCTTACGTAGAGGATTTATTTAGCTCAAGCATTATTAAATCTTGGGGGGGGGAACAGAGTGTTTTGCTTATTTTGTATCCTATCTTCTTTTCACAGAGGTTCCTTTAGTGCAGATCTCTGGATATCTTATTATTCTTCTAAAATTTAATTCTCTCCAAATTTAATGGCTGAAATCCCACTGCTTAGCCTAGTAAGTTGCAACTAGAGCAGACCGATTTGAATCAGTGGAATCAATGGAGGAACTGACTTGACAAATCCTCATTTGGGTGGGGCTACTGTAACACCACTTACAAGACTAAGCAACATGATTTCAACCAATATATCAGAAATCAGTATCCATCATCCCTCCCTCAAGGTAGTACAGCAGGCATACTCATCAAAAGCAGAATTCTATTGTCTGATTTTATAATTAGCACTACTCTGACCTCGGGGAATCAGAATGTACCCTCTTTAACCACACTTAAATTATCTAGGAAGCACTTCTAACAACATGGCATTGTAAGACATTAATACAACAGTGTTTCTACTAAGTGCCTCTTCATTCTGACAGTTTATGAAGCCCACCTTCTGATTTCACCTGTATTACTGAAACAATTAGCATTTTATCCTGTGTGCACAGTAAATGCACCGGTTAATTCCCAGACTGAATGTGTATTTTCACATGTTTGAAATCTATTGTGTAAAGACATAAAAACCATTTCCCAGATGTTGTTTCTCAAAAATCTCCTTTTTGGAATACACCAGTAGCTACTGGTAGAAAAAATTTATATGACAGAGTGACAAGAGGTACATAGTCTCAATATTACTAAGCTATAATCATTAAAATGCCACTTCTGGGAATAAGTTCCGTTCAACTCAGTGGTGATTAATTCTAAGTAGGCATGACTGGGAGTGTTGCAAAAACCAGAACTGGAGTTGAGGGGTTAATACAGTGAACCGCATTATAAACAGAACTTTTGAAAGAGTAAAGGGAGAGAAAGTATTACAATACTAAAATGCATACATTTCACCAAACCAATGCAAGTCAAGACAGGGTCGGGAAAGGCTGAAATTGGTATTAGAGTCCAAGTACTTCTCTGATCTTCAAAACAGAAACAGCTTTAGCAAACAGATTACATACGCAAAAATATTTAACTAATACTACAGTAAACCATGGCACATCTAAATATTTACTGCATTTCTGATCCCCTTATTGATGCTCTTTAAAACCAATTAAAGTGTGAGACAATGTTTCCTGTTAATGCAATATAACAGCAGAGAAAAAGCTGAAGGTTTTGAATTAATCTTTCCAGTCTCTAGTGAAAAAAACCCGATGCTATTTACATAACCCAAAATGAAGCCCCTCACACACACATTCACACCATTACTTCATTCACAGACGGTTGCACTAACAAACATTATTCCCTTTAGCTCCAATAAACACACAAGTAATGTACGAGACAAACAAAGTTAAATCACAGAAACTCTGGTTAGAGAATGTTTAGATCCTCATAATCTGACGTTCTTACCACTGAAGGCCAACTGAAGTACAGTCCAGCCAACTGTCCTTCATACAATGCATGTTTTCTTTTGTGTTGTGACTTGTCAGCATCTCAGGAACAAGCTTTAATTCAAGCATATTTCCGTTAAGCCCACGACTTCTGGGTACATTTCTTACGAGAACAAAACATTTCCCTCTGCCTTAACAGCTCTGTCCTCTACACAGCCCTTTTCTGTATCCTATCGTCTCAGTTCGGACAAAGATTTTGTTTCACAAAGGAAGGCAAATAACAGAATTGCATTATTCTCCATGTGTAAGATCAAAATTCCAAACAAAAACCAAGAACACAGCAATCATCTATCCTACAGCAAAAACAACAGCATTTCTAGTCACCATGGCAGAAAAGTAAACATTCCATGCAATGCCAAGTTCATGGTTTTCATAACAACATTCTCTCCCCATTTTCTGAGGGGAATCAATTTCACACAGAGAAATGTCATCAGAATAATTTTTTGACAGTCTGTATGACTCATTTGTACTCAGTTTTATATGAAATAGTTTCATACAAATGGAATGATAAAAACAATTAAAATACAGATACAAAATGCAGAAACAGTGGTCTAAAAACAAGTTGCCCTACCTAAACATTCACATTTCCCCTTGAATTTGGCCCTCCTTCGAAATGAAAGCTACATTTATCTCATAAACTCTCTTCAGAGTTTACTAGTGACTCATGTTTGGCAACCTCTGAATGGCATTTAAACCCACTCGGTAAACAACATTAAAAAGCAATTTTTCACAAGTTAACAAAAATTAAGGGTATGCAGCAATACCATTAATTGCATAGGGTACTGAATAGAATCAGCAGCCATGAATAGCTAGAGAAAAAAATAGGTGGTTAATACACTGTGGTTGAGTTACACAGGCAAGGCAGCCTCAAACCCTTTAAAGGTGGTGAGGCAGGGAAAATGTAGACCGTTCCCTCAAACTAATCACAAACCTTTTCCTCACCACGCCCTCCACTCTTGACTATTTACCTTAACCGGTGAAATGAAGTTACACAACACATTCTTTCTTTACCTTGGGCATATGTTGGTATCAACTATTATTTGGTCACCCACTATCCTCATATACACCGCGCACAATATAGGCAGACAAAAAGAACGACTTGGCTTTCTACCCAAACCAGGATCTACTGCAAAAACAAAACAAACAAAAGGTACAATACTCCCTGTATTGGAACTCTTCCACCCCCCAAAATGGTCAAGGTAAGTGCCATATCTGAGCTGTGTGTGAACAGCACACACCAGTTTCTGGTTGCTGAGCTGAGGGGGGGGGCAGGCGGGTGGAGAAAGAATCTCCCTGTGGGGATGTCTTAGCACCAGGCTCCTGCATATTTCCGGAAGCAGGTTGAACTAGTTAGAGAAAGAGAAAATCTAAAACTAGGCCTAGCAGGGAAAAGGCTGGAATGCACGTCTTCCCCCTTTCCATGTACCTGAAGTTACCAGATCACTCCAGAAATGGAAAGGAAGCCTACACAGAATATCCACAAAACTCATGGAATCAGGCAAGACTTTGTAAAACTACCTTCCCAAGGCTGGTTTAATACCATACTGACTCTCCCCACAGGAATGCAAACACGTGTACACAAATGCTCTTCCTCAACCGTTGTTGAGTTGTTTGATCCTCACCCAGGAAGCGTTGCGGAAAGGCACCTGACGGATCCTCACCTTCGCGCCACTATCAACCCAGGCAGACAGCAAAGCCTTAAGACACCCGCCGATCCAGAGAACATCGTGTGTCTACTACACCAGGCGCATTAATTAAAGACCCTATCAATTCACCTGCCACACTTCCCCGCAAGGCGATTAAAAGTGTTGCTAAAAGGAAGGATTTCCACCACCACCACCACTCCCAACGCCACTCCCACGCCCACCCCTTGCCATCCTCCACCTGTGGCTGCTAGAAAAGAGTAACCTCTAATTCTGGGGAACTGGGAAAGGGGGGAGTGGGAGAGTTGCGCTCAGGGGGGAGACACGAAGGCTTATGGAGACAGGGGGAAGGCTAAGAGGAAGCGGGTCCATCGTCTGTCCTTCCACCTTCTGGCAAGCAGATGGGGCTGGAAGAGGAGGAGGGGAGGAATGCCTTTGAGGCTCACAGCGCTCTCCTCCGCCGCCCCCCCCCGGGCAGTAAAGAAAGGAAGCCCGGGGGAAAAGCCTTTCCTTCCCT